AAAACGAGAGAAATGTCCAATCATCTTGAACAATATAACTTTCAAGAATTCTAGGCAAAGGATACTGAAGTCTTAGCTAGTGTGATGACTCACGAGGTGTGTGGGCAGAGGTGTGCATATGTACTAGCTATACTTAGTATATATATAGTTATGCCATCGCTCCTCTAATTTATACTTTTACCTTATTTTTTCCTTCGCACAAGCACTACATAAAGACTTACAGCCCTATGTTCTGTTGTAATTCTGCTCCTCCTGTATTGTTATATCATTATTGTTGTATGTTTATGTTGCTGTATATCGTGTTACTTTGTGTTGTTCAATTTTAATAAAAAAATTCTAATAACTTAAGTTTGAATTGGTACCGGAGCAATGTGAATTACTATGCAAAGTTCCAACTGGCTACCACTGAAATTTGACTTGCAATTTGAAATTTATTAAACTGATGTTTTTTGAGATATATATATATACCTATATAAAAATAAACAATTAAATATATGTATAGAATGATAGTATGTAAAGCATTTCTTGAGTAATGGAAAGAGAGAATACCCTATTGGTGCGCTCCTTGTCTCTACACCTTTTCCAACAACATCAATCGAAATAAGCTAATGACTAGCAGCATTGACCGCCTCTCTTCCGCTCTATTTAGAAATTTTTTTCCCTACAACTGTAAACTTACGTTGCTCGATCGCAATCCTCATCCCTAGTGATGGTCTGTCGGCTGCCTTCAATTTTCACACAAAACACACGTTGTTTCTTTTCACCGGATCCACATTGCGCTGAGCAGTGAGAGACATCTTCCGTCGACCATCTGAAAAATAAGATATAGGAGTCGGACGCTTGCTATTATCAGGTACTGATGCTTACTTCACAATGCACTCTATATTGCACATTCGTGTGTTGGTCTGCGGTCGTTGAGCAGTACACATGCGTTCGCTCGCCTGTCGGTTATTGGAGGAGTCTACGCAGATGATTTCTTGAGACTGTGTGCCTTTAAAAAATAGAATAAAAAGAAGTCATATGGGCCCAACCTTAAAATTTCTGCGCTGTAATGTTTTGCATGGATTACTGAATGAAACACACCCAGAATGCAGTAACATCAAAGCAGCTCTTTGCTCCTATTCTTACAAACAACTATACTCAGATTAACAATCGCTAGTTCTTATAACTTTGTTCAGCTTCGAAAACTTTGTACATTGGAAAAAGCATAGACCAGTAGCTGCATTCTCAAACAGTGCACCTTTCATTGAG